CTGCATAATATCTCGAAGCGCCATTTTGCAAATAAATATATTACTTCAAAGTTACTATTGGGTCTAGCACTTAATAACCGACCTTTTTTGTAAGATGGCGCCACTCATACATTTACATATAAATCGAAACATCAAGTGTGTGTGCTTGACAGCTCTTCATTTCACCTTTCATACGCAGTAGAAATAATCCATTTTGATTGTGCACAAAATTTTTTATCATCATTTGAAAATGTCCAATTTCGTCCCAGAAAAACGTCATTTGCGGGAGCTGATTTTTTCACACGGAAAAAATGTGAAAAAAAGATTATTCTTGTGTCGGGTTGACACTGAATATGAAAAATTGTCCCTTTTCGATTGACTCAAGCAGAAAAAACCACATTTCGATAGCAGCTCCTTGTCATTGTAGGGAGCGCAGCAATCGTTCCCTCGAAAATGGGTAGTTTGCCATATATGTGGGGATGGGGAAGATATGGTCCGTTGTGCGAAAGTAAAATCGTATCGAAATGTTAGATTTGATCGTTCCCAACAATAATTAATCATTATAGATTAATTTCTGAAAGCAGAATAGAAAAATTTGCTCATTGTCACAAAAAAAGTGGTTTCTAGGGAAAAAAATTTCAGTGACTTTTCACACATTGAGACAAAAATGTCTAAGAATAAGTTGATTATGAATACTCGCTATGCCCCCGCTGTATTCTTCAGACATTGCTCCATCCGACTACCACTTATTTCGATCGATGCAGAATGCCCTTGCCGGAATACGCTTCTCTTCAGTTGACGAAGTCAAAAATTGGGTCGCTACGTACATAACCTCAAAAGACGAGAAGTTCTTTTGGGACGGAATCCATAAACTGCCTGAATTTTGGGAGAAGGCCATAGCTTCCGACGGACACTACTTTGAATAACTTATTTGTTCAATAAATTTTCGAAATAAAGCATTGAATTTCACTAAAAAAGATCGGTTATTAAGTGCTAGATCCAATATGATGAAATACATTTCATGTAGTGCGCCAAAAAATAGTTTGTTGTGAAACAACAAAATAGATTAAGTAACTAAAAACTCAGGAACGCAGAGCGGAGCGAAGCGAAGCTCTGCGGTCTTGTTTTTTATTGTTGTTACTAAAATTCCTACAAATAAGCAGATTATATAATTATAACCAGTTTTTTCTTTTATTCTTTCTTTGCGGCAAACTAAGCTCCTGTTACCTGGCAATGCGTCAATCGAAACCAATAAATGAAAGCCCCCTCCATTCAAAAGTTTTCGAAAACATCAAACGTTCACGAGACCACACTCAGATGTTGACAACGACTTTTTGGACTGGAACTGTATGTAAAGGGAGCAAGAGCATACCATTCCATAGCAAACTTATATATTAACCTACTTGAAATTGTTCATAAAAAAGCGAAGCGATTTGAAAGGAAATAATCTTACAATGGCATTATGGTGCTACATTCAAACGAGTTCAAGTGGCGTTAAAAACTTGATCGTGTGAGCCGAACGTATATATATAGTACATATATTATACATTGTGTGCTAGTCGTGTGTGCATACAAAAAGATCATTACATGCACGGTATGTTGGATTAGTGCGTTTATTACTTGAACTTTTTGAAGCTTAAAATGGTGACTGCTGTGTTGTCATTGCTGCACAACTACTACTCCTTCGCTCTATTCAAAGGACAATGAGCTTAATATATTGTTGACGCTCAAAATCTATGGGTGAGATTGAGAGTAGTGTATGTTTCATTGACTTTTGTTACGAAAGAGAAGAGCAAGTTTCTGTCGACTTAAAAATGGTTAAAAGCGAGTATGTTCGTTTTTAGCAGGTTCTCGAGGCTTTTCACGGTTTCCGCGGAACTGATAAGAGATAACAACTTGGTGTAGTAGAGTATGTTGTAGTACCGTCTAGCCTCCGCGGTCTTCATGGTTTTCGCGCAACTGATAAAAGATAACAACATGGTGTCTTCGGCAAAGTTGTAGCACTTGAGGTCTTCTATAACATTGCTGAAGTCAGTTATCTCTTATCTCTTATCAGTTCCGCGAAAAGCGCGAAAAATGATAATAAAAAAAAATTTATATATAAAATTTGCTTTTTTATGTGCGCGATTTGCGCGCAACTGATAAGAGATAAGAGATAACTGTCTTCAGCTTAGTTATAGAAGACCTCGAGTACTACAACTTTGCCGAAGACACCATGTTGTTATCTTTTATCAGTTGCGCGAAAACCATGAAGACCGCGGAGGCTAGACGGTACTACAACATACTCTACTTTAACGCCAAGAGAATCAACAGAAAACATACTCGCCTTTTCAAAAATATAAACCGAAGAAAAAACATACTCTACTCTCAATCTCACCCATAGAAATGATCTCCATCGGCCAATTGGGTGCGTTGAGTTTTTTTTTATCGTGGCAAAGAAGTAAGCGAAAGAGGAGTAGAGAGAGAAAGAGAGAGAGAGCGGTGAAGAGCGTAGCGAAGCAACAAAAAATGTGGTGTGATTTTTACTTGACTATATTTACTTCCCGCATACACATACCAAATCTGATATAAGCGACATACCCACGCAAATAGAATCACATGCTTGATTTAAGCTTTAACACCATAACAGAAACATTCAATACAGCTTCACACTTACACAGTCCACCGGGTATTGCCGAGCAATGACTGCCATGTGCAGTGCCAAAAAGTTGAAATTATAAAAAATTGCCATATAAATGATGAGTGATGCCCATCGACACGTACATGTAATTTTTAAACAAAAAAGCAAACAAAGACTGAGTAGAGATCTGAATTGGAATTGCCTCCGTTGCTCTTGCCTATTGATATTCAGCTTGAATCTCGTTCGGCTGGTGCATTGCTATAGCGAACAATTTCCAAATTTAACGAAAGCATTTCACATATTAGCGCCAACAGCCACTCACACACACATACACACAAAAGAACACGAAGCTATAAAGTGAGAGCAAATCTTGCATTCATGGCTATGAACTATGCATTTACTATAAAAGTAAATGCTTATTAGTCACACAACGATTTATGTACGTAGAAATTGCGTTGAATCGATATGAATGTGTATGAGCCATGTTCCCGAAAATAATATCACCAAATGGCCGAATGCCGATTTGAGTACAACGCATACACATAGGACGATAGAGAGAAACAGACGCACATACACAAATTACGTGCAACGAGTTCACAAGTTGCCAGTACACATGATACAAGTTGCCATAAAAAAAAATGACATTGAAAGAAATGCAGGGGATGGCGTGATCGAGTTGAAAGGGTTAAAGTCAAACGAATTAATAATAATACTAAAGCAGCGATTCGAATGAGATGGGCGGAACAGCTTTTTATGCTCTCTCACACATACACAAAAAAAAGCTTCTAACTGGGAAAAAAAGCGAAGCACAAAAGAGAGAGAGAGAGGAGAAAAAAAGCACAACGGCACATCAATTTCTCGTGTCATTTTTGAATACTTTAGCCTACTCTCTCACACCCGTTCCTCTTCCTCCGCCTTCTCGGCCGTACGTTCGCACACTCTTCGTCATCTCCTCGTCGAATCGCGTTAGTGGCATGTAAATAATTTGAATGCATACATTTGTGGCGCTCTTCTCTCTCGCTTTCACTCTCTGTTCGGTTCGAGGGTAATGCCGTTCGCTTCAACTTGTGCATATATTAATGTTTTTGTTGTCTGGGGCCTTCAACATCATCCTTACTTTTACGATACATCGGGTGGAAAGGCACACAAAAAGCTTCCTGGTTCGTAAAAGAAGCAAATACATCAAATTGATTCGTTGTCGTTGATGCTATGATTGCTGTAGTTGAAGTCGTTATTGCTGGTTTTTTTTTCATCAAAAGAAAAACATAGAAGGGCAAAATCGACTCGCTAGAGCGCAACATCAGCAGTAGCAGTAGATAGTGACAGCAGCATTGCCTATTCTCTATGACATCGATCAAGACAAATTGAAGCGGAAAAAAATGAATATGGAATCATCTGTTTGAAGTGTATTTACTGGTGTAATCTTCCACTTTTCGCTTGAAATACTCTCATCTTGCCTTTGCCGCCAATGTTTTGCTTACAACGAATTCATTGTGTGTACGTGCATTCGTTTCGCAATAGTTAAGCGAAGTGGTTTTCTCCTCATTGCCACTTCGGATGTTGAATGTAAATTAGTTATATGCGACGGAGTGAGAGGGAAAAAACACGTAGAAAAAAAAGAGAGCTGGTGTTCCGTCGACAACAACGCTTTTGCGAACGCTGGAAATTAATTTGTTTTAGTTCTTTTTGCGTGACATTTTATTTCAACTAGACTCTTGGTTCGTGCTTCATACATTCTATGCTGGCCCAAGCAATTTCCATTTATTTCACATTATATAAAAATTAGTTTATTTATGCAGCTTTTTTTGTGTGAGTGTGAGTGTGTTTCCGTCATCCGACGTTTTATCTTATTTATTCGATTTGACAAAATCGAACACATGTGTTTATTATATAGCCATGGCGTGCAATGTACGGCATAATAAATTGTAACAGCAACAACAACCACAGACAAAAAATTGAGTTGAAATTCATCAAAAACAAATAGAAAAAAGTCCATGTGAAATGGCAAAGACAACCATCGAATGGAAAAGAAATTGATTGTGTGGTGGAGAGGGACTGGCACAAGTGGAAACAAAGTTGGTCACTTGATTGTGGGTGTAAAATTATGCGTCAAGCCATGTCACCATACATGGGCCATACTCACATTCACTTTCTCCTCTATCTCATCTTGTATGCGAGTGTGTGTGTGTGTGTACTTGAAATACACCAACTTTTCCACTAAAAGTGGCATTTTGCGTCCATTTCACGCACACATTCACCAACTAACTTCACATACTATTCGCTTTTATATCTATTTTTTCTATGCAAATAAAATAATACGGTTCTCTTTTTTCTCTATTTTTCTCATCTTGACCGTTGCTGTCCCCCTCTGATGTCTGCTGCATGATTGCTATGGTGCTAGTTGTTTTTTACGGATATTGCTGAACCATCGATAGCGGTACTGTGGTTACGTTGCTGCTCTTTCAATTGTCCAAAATTAAAGAAATCCGTGATATTCATGCATGATGTGTTACCGAAAACGAACACAGAAAATACTCCCGGTCTACCAATGATGAAAATAGTGTGAAAGTGAAACCAACAAGACAACCGAGACTCTCAAACAAATTGTATATGCGAACAAGAGAAAAAAGCACATAAATTTTTATATACATTGGAGTAGCGTATGCAAAGAACGCGTAAACCATATCCCAACTGTATGCGCATATAAATATTTGAATCTGTGTATGTGAACGATTTACTTCAAAGTTCCCATTGTCATATTACGTATACGTCGCACGGTGGTTTTGCTTCTTTCTGTATGTGATGCGCAACAATAAGAACAACAATAACATTCAAGAACAAAAACAATATCAACAAGAGTAATACATGTAGCGCGCGTTTGATGATTATGATAATGAAATTCATTCATTCAACATTATGAATAGTGTTCGATCGAAAGTACGATGCATGTCTTTTGCTGGTGTTTATGAACGGAAAAACGAATCGGTAGAACAAACCTATTACGCACAGAAAAGAAATCGAAGCCACTTAGTGTGTAAGATATCGCATAGATATACATAGTAAATTGGCGCGCACTGTGGCACAACCAAGAAGAATACAGCAAAAAAAAACGAGGACGCAAAAGATAATATACCTGAAATCCGGATATGTGAATGTGGTAGCACAAACTACAACTAGAACTATAAAGACACAATAAAAGAAAAAAAAAAGAGAAAAGAAATAGAAAATATAAATCGAATCGCCACCGAACAAAGAATAGAACTGAAGAAAAAACCACCAGCATACACACGCAAACGCCAAAAATGTGAACAATTTGTTGTGTAATAAAAGTGAGCTCACCGAAGGAGCCACCATCAAATATTCACATAAAACTAGGCAACAGTGATAATTTCACGTTTGACTTTTTATTTCGTTTGTCTGTCATCTTGTTCGTTTAGTTTCGTGCTTTATTTTTATTGTCTCTTTTGGCAGGCATTCACACACACACACACACACACCATACACACACATAACGTGTTGTAGCCAGGAGACGATAATAATTCAATCATATTATTTGCGCAGTTAATTCGTCAGCAAAAAAATGCAACACAAGGACCATAAAAACCAAAGCCAGTATTGAATAGAAAACAGGGAGAGGATCTTGTTCCTTTATTTTTTAGCTCCCTCTTCCCATTTGCGCAAACAATCAAATCGAATAAGCACAAAAATAAGAAGAGTGGGAAATATACCGGCGAATACCATCGAACGACGGCAAAATCTGAACATACTATACGGCAAATCGAAATAAATGTCAGCCAATAAGTAGTAGAAGAAGAAAACAGCAGTGCAAGTGCATAAAATGGTAGTGAAGAACTCTCAATTGGCGAGAGAAAATATCCGACGACAAAAAGTGAAACGTGATTAAAAGTCGAACTTACTGCTTACAAATGAACACAAATAATGTAGCGTGCGCGTGGACAAAAAATATATACATACATTTCTGAAAGAAGAAGAGAAAAAAAAAACAGTACATGCTCAATAGAAAATGAATGACAGAAAAAAGACGAAGAAAATAAATGTGACTAAATATAAAATGCAGAAAAGACTAATTCCATTCACACAAAATCGAATATATTTCCATTGATTTCTTTACCGTGAAGCGATAGCATTTGTGCTTCTTTTTTTTGTTTTGGACGAATAGCAGAAAAAAATATATACATTTAGACACTTTGACAGCGATAGAGAAGAAAGAAAAAAACGCAAGCGGAAAAACGATACGTTCATTCGTTGTTTCGTATCTTTTTTTTTTCTATTAATTTGAGGAACCGGGACCAGCATCGTGTTTTACTCGTAGCAACCACATTTGCATACACGAATACAATTCACAATCGATGGCATATTTAAAAGTGATTTTACTTTCATTCCGCGCTACTGCCTTCAATACGATTTAATTTGATTTACTTATTCGTTTTGCTTCGTTTTGCTTTTGCACTGTCATTTATTTATTTGTGCATAACGGTCAATTTGTGTGTTGTGTATAATTATCGACGTAAAACGATCACATTCATCTGCAACTAACAGGTAAGTAAACAAAGGGAGAGAAAAAACGATGGAAATTGAGTCAATATTCATGTTGATATATGGAGACATTTGTCTAAAATTGGTATGCCATCATCATATGTTTACGCTGAGTCGTCGTCATCAATGTTCGGGCAATTTCATGTCACACACACTCTCTGTGTGATTGTTTAATGATTGCACTTTAAAAGTTGCAACCCAAGTAATTACTCTGTGTGCTGTCACTCAGCGCGGAAGGTTTTGCATGTTTGTTGAACATTTCCAAATGATTTACTCATGAAACATTCTGGTCTTGTCATTCATCGGATATTTTTTATCAAGACGCGATGGCAAAGTCCGAAAGTTTTTTTTCTGCCGTCTGTATAGACATACATACAATCCAGTTAAAATAGACTAATCTATAAAAAAAAGAAAAATAAAAAAAGTTTGTCAGCTTGAGTGACAGTAAACGAAGTGAAAGCACAGCTCTTTTGCAAAATTGCAAATATTTCAAATGAATTATCGGCCACGGTATACTCTGTATACGATAACACATATTTTTGTGGAAAGTTTTTGTATTAAAATAAGCAATTTTTTTGTTCGTATATTTCCAACTCATTTTGTGTAAAAAAATTTCGAATTCAATTTAACTCAAATCGCTGGCTTGACTTTGAGCGCTCAAACGAAATGAGAATACAAATAATAAAGTTCCCATTTGAAAAATGCTCGGAACGGGCGCATATCCATATCGGTGTGATGTGTAAGTTTATTTGGATTCGTTTTTTTCCCTACTTCACACATTTTCTTTACACAAGCATAATGTTTTTTTTTTCACATAGAAAATTCAAACGGAACTTCCACCCGACTGACGTTGAAAATTTATAGCGCTTCAACCGATATGGAATTACACCAGTCGGTTGGTTTATTTCAAATGTCTACTGACTCAATTTAAAATCAAAAAGCACAGTTTTTCACTTTCAAATTGCCATCCACTTGCTCACTCTAATATCTTTTATTTTTTCGATTACAGAGAAGAAAAAAAAACAACGAAAAAAGTAGAACACTAAAGAAATAAACAGCAAAAAAGCCCACACACACACACATCGCGGAAAGAATTTAATTCAATTCAATTTTCACCAGCGTCGCAGTCGTTTCTCATTAACCGACACTGTTGTTTTCCGGTAACATTAATGGATAATGAAATGTCGAAAGCCTTGCAAACGCAACACTGCACAGTTCATCGATGAGTTTGTGCATTGCCATTGATTTGACGGTAATTGATGGCGAATCACCGCCCGCTAAACACAACAAATGAAGTCTTACAAAAACGAGTGCTGAGTATCATCGCCACATTTGAGAGAGAGAAAGAGATAGAGAGAGAGACCAAGAAATGCGAAATTATTATTGATTAATATTATGAACGACAACACAACCACAAACTGATCCATTTTGAGAAAATGGCTACTGACGATGTGGATGTTTTTATGTGTCAGCCATTCGTCCTGGCTTCGCTTCAGTAAATGGAACACAATGATTTCGTAGCGTGCAATAAGAAACACACTTTTCTAAGCACAACGACTAAATTGGAAAATGCTTCAAATATGGAATGCAGAAATACGGTTATTCTTGTAGGTAAGAATAACGAAAAAAAATAGAAAAAAAAGAGCGAAAAGTGTGTGTTGCGTTTCGTTCTTTTTCATACTTTTTTTCCTCTTCGGACGCATCGCATCGTTCAATTGATTTTGCGAGAAATTGAAGAGAGTTTCGTATGAGAAAGCGATAAAGAGACGAACAGAGAATTGGCGACAAGAGCTAAATCGTCTACACACACACACACACACACACACACACACACACTCAAACAACAAGTCTCTTACGGCAACGATAATAATACGGCACGCACACATTCACAAGCGAACCAGAAACAGAAACGAAATTGAAACGCTTATTCAGATTCGATTTGAACAGAAAATAGAAAATAAGTTGAACTATATTGAAATAAAAATATTTACAACACATGCATGGAATACGTAATTTGTTCGGTTTTTTTTGCGGGAGGCGACACAAACACCGGTTGACGATTTTTTTGGTTCTCATTTACTGTGCGCTTTTTATGTGATACACATACACGTGGGAACGGGAGCAACAACAAGAAGAAGAAAGAGAAAGAAAGAAAAAAAAAATATATATATACAAACGCACACACACACACACTCATTCGCTCACAAGCTTGGAAGAAGGCAGTAAAAAGCACAAAGTATCGTAAAATTGAATGGAACAAAATCTCTGAATAGAATAGAAAACACATTACCGTTTTTAGTGAATTCAATGAATTGAAAAAGTGCGAAATAGAGAGGCAACAGAAATCGAACATATTTTTCGATCGTTCACAATACATATAGCATATATACATATAGATTCAACTTTACTTTAACGGCCAACAATCAAGTGGAATATGAATTAACTAAGTTTGCCAGAGCCGGGCGTTTTACATGCAAACGAAACAAAAAGAGGAAGCGAGCGAAGCAAACGTGGAAAAATATTATCGAAGAAGAAGACGACGACGACGACGAAGAGGAAGAAGAAGAAAAAAAAGCCCCAGTTGCGAAAAGTTTAAATATTTAGGGGAAAGCAAATAGCAACCAATCGCAGATAGGAATTCCTAGACCATTGCCATATGATTTTCGCCTCTTTGTTGCATATGCCATTGTCGCTGGCTGACGCTTCATAACCGAATAACAAAAGAAGAACAAGAGTAGCCAACCAGAGCAAAAGACACACATACATACCGTGAGCAAGTACAAGAGCGAAAAAGGACAACAAGAGCACAACAATCGCGCATAAGCAACGGCTGCAACAAATTACGCATTTCAAAGGAAGAAAGAAAAATAAATGAATGTATTAGCAACAATTCCCGCCGAAGCAGACACTCTGCAGAACAACAACAAAAAAATCGCTAAAAAATACACGACATCAAATAGAAATCGCTAGTTAAATAACAGCTGAAGTGGCAACATTGCCCCGACACTGAAACTAGCATAAGTGGAAGAACAAAAAAGAGAACGAGAACGAAAACAATAAACGGATAGAGGGAACGAAAAAGTGGAGAAACAGAGCGAGAGAGAGAGAGAGAGAGAGAGAGAGCGTGAGAGCAGTAGAGAAGAGAGAAAAAAAACCAACCGAAACGCATCATAAATTAACATGGCATTTATTGCGGATAATACGACCGAAGAATTTCTCGCAACGGTTGGAAATTCATCATTTAATCGTCATTTGACCTCTACAAATGAAACAAACCCAAATACAACCGTCATTCATGATCCGGGCTATCCCAGCGGATACAGTCTTACTCATATCGTATTTGCATCAATTGTAGTCACACTTTTAATGATTATTATTGTTGTTGGAAACATGCTAGTTATTATCGCAATCATCACCGAAAAGTCGTTGAAAAACATTCAGAACTGGTTCATCGCATCACTCGCTGTAGCCGACTTTTTTCTCGGCCTTGTAATTATGCCATTCTCATTAGCTAATGAATTAATGGGCTACTGGATATTTGGCAGTTGGTGGTGCGACATTCATAGTGGTATGTGCAATAGCTAAATTTTTCTTGTTAAATAGCCAATACACTTGCGTGCTTAAACCACGCAAAATGCGATATATGTATTCTTCTTTTTATTGCACCGACGAATATGTCTTCGACAGAGAGAGTTCCTCAACAACAGCATCACCATCAAAACTTATAGCTACTTTTTTTGCTTCCAGATCGATTTGTAAAGTAAAATTCATTTTACTGCTCCATACAATTTCAAAACAAAAACATGATAAATTTGCGCGCAATAACATAAAAATAGAAAAGTGGAAGCGAATACAACGAGCGGATTTGCTCCCCAAAGACGCAACATTCAAATAGTACTATATGTTCTGCTGTTAAAAGTAATAGTGCTGTGTGTTCGAAGAAATAGTCGTGGTGAATCGCATTTGTTGCGACATTTATTGCTGTAATTTTGACATGTCTTTCTATCCTTCTCTCCCTCCCTTCTCTCTTCTCATCTGCGTCTATATAGCCATGGATGTGCTCTTATCAACCGCCTCAATAATGAATTTGTGTTTGATATCACTGGATCGATACTGGAGTATAACGAAAGCAGTGGAATATTTGAAAACGCGAACGCCCGCCCGCGCATTAGTTATGATCGCTGCCGTCTGGATAATGTCAGCGCTAATATGTATACCGCCGTTGCTCGGATGGGGTGTAAAACGGTCCGAAGATTCACTGCCACAATGTGAGGTAAGTTTTTCTTATCGTTCTACTTATTCATTTTGGTTGTGTATATATCACCGAAGAAGAATAGCAAATACCGCATTTTGCCATCTTCAAGTGGAAGTCATAGCCGCCGAAAAGAAATGGTGTGTGCGCATATACACATCCTTTTCGGAGGGACTATGTATGCGACTGTTTATCATTTGATTTGCAATGTGGCTAACAATGTGAATCAATTCATTCTCATTCAATTGGCATATCGATTGGTTTTTTGCCTTCCAAACAAAGATAAAAACACAGTCGTGCGATTTTTCCGATGTCGACAAACAAACTTAAAAGTCCAATAAATTTTGATTGAAAACCTTTCATTGGATTCAAATTCGATTGGTGTTGAGAGTTCGAGTTACACTAATAAGCTTTTATCGTCACGAAATATTGATGTTTAATGCTATTTGTTCATCAGCATACAGTTTCAAATACAATTTCAACTAATTTTTTTTACTTCGCCTTTTTTTTATTTATATTTTTCTTTAATCTGAAGAAGTGCCAGTAATAATTCAAAATACTGATTTCGGGAAGTATATCCGACAAAGAAAAATATCGGAAGTTTTCTCTTTTTTGGAATATTTCTCACTACATTTATGATAAACTAGAGGGAAGAAAAGCAAAACATCATCTCTCATTCATCTCTCTTATTCTGGAAATATCATGCATCGGATCAGTCTTTCGGTTTCCTTTCTACGTTTTTTTTTCTTCTCGTCACTATTTGCCGCTTTCCGCCACAGAAATCCTTTTCATTTCGTCTTTTATAGTTGGCCTGGATTTGTGGCCGTGCCGATAGTAACGAAGCTAAATCAATATACAGATATAAATGTGTATTGTACAGTATCTCATCCATTCGTTTGGTTATCTAATTTAAATCTATGGTTTTCAATGGAATGGAATCATATTTTGAATGCATGTATAGTTTCTATATATGTATGTATATATATATATATATATATATGCGCAGATTCATCACTCAAATCCGTGAGCATACAATACATAATGTATATGTATATAAGTTCCATTCACTGTAGGCGCATATAACGCTGACAAGCGGTACGATATGATACAAAAGCCTCCTAACTACTGTTGTAGTTGTTGGCGCGCTGAACTTTTTCTTCACAACATATCACTACAATTGGCTTATTTATCATTTGTGTATTTTATTTTGTGTGAATGAGACTAATACCGAGTTTACATGAATCGAGAGGCGCTGGTATGGGATGCTTGCTACACAGCCACTGTTTAATAAATGTCTACTATATTCGCATTGAATTGATTGTCGACTTTTGAGATGCGTCGCCATTGTCGCCTGATCCATCATCATAGCGATATCATTTCTCTCCCATTCAATGGGAAATTGTTTGATGTGAAGTTGGATTTAATTAATATTTTTTTTTATGCTCTGCAAAATAAAACATAAACAATTCAACAAACAAAAAGCAAAATATTCGCAACGATGTACACTATGTGCCATTGTTGATGTTGATATTATAAGCGCTATAGTTGATTGTGATGCGACACCAACGCTTTAACAGTGTGAAAGTTCATAATGAAAGTCAACCGAGCGAAAGGGATGGTTTGAAATGCACATACAACCGACACAAACACTCTCACTGGTCACAATGTCGATGATATGACTGTGGGATTCGATGCGAGATCAAATTCTGTCATCAAGCCTGTTCTATGTGTCAATTGTATTGATGCTGTATTATTATTATCATCATCATTACCACTCAACATTCAACTTGGAAACTTAAAGAACAATACGCCTCGGCACACAATTTAATTTGGTGCACAGAGGTACAAAAACAAGTAGTTAGTGGACGAGTGAGTGAGTGAGTGAGCTCAGTGTCTGAATGTGCTTGTTAGTGTCGAAGCTGCCCGATGTGTATGTGTACCGGCGACGACAACAACAGCAGCAGAGGCATCGCTGTGATGATGATAATAATAATGATGATGATGATGATGGTAAAGAAATGACTTTTCGCTATTTTGTGGGCATAAATAGAGGGCAGAAATTGCTGTGTAATAAATCAGTCTACTGTTCTCCTGATGAGCACTATTCAAATGGCCAGTGCGTTAACAATATTCGTATTTATGTGTATGCATCAATGTGTTATTGTCTATTATGAGTGCGTATTACATTACATATTTCATAATCACTTTTGCCATCCGAACTCGAACCAGATCCCATATTCTCCGAACGAATGAATGAACGAGCAGCAAACCTCAATCCACACACAAACATATACACGGCTCAGCGTTAATTAAACCAGTGCCTTGTCATAAATATTTCGATGGCGGATTTACAATGCCAAATTACTACTGTCCACACATGAGCTCCGATATCATTTAGACATTGAACGGCTCAACATTTGCAGGATTCTATTAAAGTCTCTTATTCACTCTGTCTCTGTCTCTGTCTCACTTGTTCGCTCGCTCAACAAGCTGACGTACAATGTTCGGAATGAAATTAACGATTTTTTCTACATCTGCCGTGCTTGCTTGCTTGCTTGACGCAGACCAGATGTAAAAATGAGCAAACAAGTGGAAGCCAACTAAAGCATCACACTAACATTAAAAACAAAACCATTCAGACGCACATAAATTACCCAAACGAATCAACGAACGAAAAATTGTATGTGGAGAATGCAGATTGAGTGGAAAAAAAATGCGCGCCCGAACTGCTTATATACACAGTGCAATACATTGTAATAGTGTGTTTGTGTCTCTGTGTGCGCGCGATTTACTCGTTAAAGAATATACACGTTTATTACCCTCATCTCCACCAAGCAAAACTTCCATTTGATCTGATCTCGCACATAAAAGATTGCTTGAACATGCAAGCAATGCTCTCGCTCGATACATGGTTCAGCTGCTTGAATTCTGATTAAAAAATGCAAAGCTTAAATCATATCGAATGAGCGATCGACATAAAGGGTTTCGTAAACGAAAAAGCTTTTGGATGTTTTTTTCTTTTGCTTATTTCATCCATCAAACTGTGAAACTGTGTATGAGTATGTGCTGTTGTCCCTCTGTTTCAGCATTTATTATAACCATAACGTTTTTCATTCCGTTGCCATGTTGCCCATCTCTCTCAATCTCTCTCTCTCTCTCTCTCTCTCTCTCTCTCTCTCTCTCTCTCTCTCTCTCTCTCTCTCTCTCTCTCTCTCTCTCTCTCTCTCTCTCTCTCTCTCTCTCTCTCTCTCTCTCTCTCTCTCTCTCTCTCTCA